GTGACCCCCAGCAGCCGCGGTGTGGTGGGTTCAGGTGGACGCCGCGTGGACTCCAGCAGCCGGGGTGTGGTGGGTTCAGGTGGACGCCGCGTGGACTCCAGCAGCCGGGGTGTGGTGGACTCAGGCGGGCGCCGCGTGGACTCCAGCAGCCGGGGTGTGGTGGACTCAGGCGGGCGCCGCGTGGACTCCAGCAGCCGGGGTGTGGTGGACTCAGGCGGGCGCCGCGTGGACTCCAGCAGCCGGGGTGTGGTGGACTCAGGCGGGCGCCGCGTGGACTCCAGCAGCCGGGGTGTGGTGGACTCAGGCGGGCGCCGCGTGGACTCCAGCAGCCGGGGTGTGGTGGACTCAGGCGGGCGCCGCGTGGACTCCAGCAGCCGGGGTGTGGTGGACTCAGGCGGGCGCCGCGTGGACTCCAGCAGCCGGGGTGTGGTGGACTCAGGCGGGCGCCGCGTGGACTCCAGCAGCCGGGGTGTGGTGGACTCAGGCGGGCGCCGCGTGGACTCCAGCAGCCGGGGTGTGGTGGACTCAGGCGGGCGCCGCGTGGACTCCAGCAGCCGGGGTGTGGTGGACTCAGGCGGGCGCCGCGTGGACTCCAGCAGCCGGGGTGTGGTGGACTCAGGCGGGCGCCGCGTGGACTCCAGCAGCCGGGGTGTGGTGGACTCAGGCGGGCGCCGCGTGGACTCCAGCAGCCGGGGTGTGGTGGACTCAGGCGGGCGCCGCGTGGACTCCAGCAGCCGGGGTGTGGTGGACTCAGGCGGGCGCCGCGTGGACTCCAGCAGCCGGGGTGTGGTGGACTCAGGCGGGCGCCGCGTGGACTCCAGCAGCCGGGGTGTGGTGGACTCAGGCGGGCGCCGCGTGGACTCCAGCAGCCGGGGTGTGGTGGACTCAGGCGGGCGCCGCGTGGACTCCAGCAGCCGGGGTGTGGTGGACTCAGGCGGGCGCCGCGTGGACTCCAGCAGCCGGGGTGTGGTGGACTCAGGCGGGCGCCGCGTGGACTCCAGCAGCCGGGGTGTGGTGGACTCAGGCGGGCGCCGCGTGGACTCCAGCAGCCGGGGTGTGGTGGACTCAGGCGGGCGCCGCGTGGACTCCAGCAGCCGGGGTGTGGTGGACTCAGGCGGGCGCCGCGTGGACTCCAGCAGCCGGGGTGTGGTGGACTCAGGCGGGCGCCGCGTGGACTCCAGCAGCCGGGGTGTGGTGGACTCAGGCGGGCGCCGCGTGGACTCCAGCAGCCGGGGTGTGGTGGACTCAGGCGGGCGCCGCGTGGACTCCAGCAGCCGGGGTGTGGTGGACTCAGGCGGGCGCCGCGTGGACTCCAGCAGCCGGGGTGTGGTGGACTCAGGCGGGCGCCGCGTGGACTCCAGCAGCCGGGGTGTGGTGGACTCAGGCGGGCGCCGCGTGGACTCCAGCAGCCGGGGTGTGGTGGACTCAGGCGGGCGCCGCGTGGACTCCAGCAGCCGGGGTGTGGTGGACTCAGGCGGGCGCCGCGTGGACTCCAGCAGCCGGGGTGTGGTGGACTCAGGCGGGCGCCGCGTGGACTCCAGCAGCCGGGGTGTGGTGGACTCAGGCGGGCGCCGCGTGGACTCCAGCAGCCGGGGTGTGGTGGACTCAGGCGGGCGCCGCGTGGACTCCAGCAGCCGGGGTGTGGTGGACTCAGGCGGGCGCCGCGTGGACTCCAGCAGCCGGGGTGTGGTGGACTCAGGCGGGCGCCGCGTGGACTCCAGCAGCCGGGGTGTGGTGGACTCAGGCGGGCGCCGCGTGGACTCCAGCAGCCGGGGTGTGGTGGACTCAGGCGGGCGCCGCGTGGACTCCAGCAGCCGGGGTGTGGTGGACTCAGGCGGGCGCCGCGTGGACTCCAGCAGCCGGGGTGTGGTGGACTCAGGCGGGCGCCGCGTGGACTCCAGCAGCCGGGGTGTGGTGGACTCAGGCGGGCGCCGCGTGGACTCCAGCAGCCGGGGTGTGGTGGACTCAGGCGGGCGCCGCGTGGACTCCAGCAGCCGGGGTGTGGTGGACTCAGGCGGGCGCCGCGTGGACTCCAGCAGCCGGGGTGTGGTGGACTCAGGCGGGCGCCGCGTGGACTCCAGCAGCCGGGGTGTGGTGGACTCAGGCGGGCGCCGCGTGGACTCCAGCAGCCGGGGTGTGGTGGACTCAGGCGGGCGCCGCGTGGACTCCAGCAGCCGGGGTGTGGTGGACTCAGGCGGGCGCCGCGTGGACTCCAGCAGCCGGGGTGTGGTGGACTCAGGCGGGCGCCGCGTGGACTCCAGCAGCCGGGGTGTGGTGGACTCAGGCGGGCGCCGCGTGGACTCCAGCAGCCGGGGTGTGGTGGACTCAGGCGGGCGCCGCGTGGACTCCAGCAGCCGGGGTGTGGTGGACTCAGGCGGGCGCCGCGTGGACTCCAGCAGCCGGGGTGTGGTGGACTCAGGCGGGCGCCGCGTGGACTCCAGCAGCCGGGGTGTGGTGGACTCAGGCGGGCGCCGCGTGGACTCCAGCAGCCGGGGTGTGGTGGACTCAGGCGGGCGCCGCGTGGACTCCAGCAGCCGGGGTGTGGTGGACTCAGGCGGGCGCCGCGTGGACTCCAGCAGCCGGGGTGTGGTGGACTCAGGCGGGCGCCGCGTGGACTCCAGCAGCCGGGGTGTGGTGGACTCAGGCGGGCGCCGCGTGGACTCCAGCAGCCGGGGTGTGGTGGACTCAGGCGGGCGCCGCGTGGACTCCAGCAGCCGGGGTGTGGTGGACTCAGGCGGGCGCCGCGTGGACTCCAGCAGCCGGGGTGTGGTGGACTCAGGCGGGCGCCGCGTGGACTCCAGCAGCCGGGGTGTGGTGGACTCAGGCGGGCGCCGCGTGGACTCCAGCAGCCGGGGTGTGGTGGACTCAGGCGGGCGCCGCGTGGACTCCAGCAGCCGGGGTGTGGTGGACTCAGGCGGGCGCCGCGTGGACTCCAGCAGCCGGGGTGTGGTGGACTCAGGCGGGCGCCGCGTGGACTCCAGCAGCCGGGGTGTGGTGGACTCAGGCGGGCGCCGCGTGGACTCCAGCAGCCGGGGTGTGGTGGACTCAGGCGGGCGCCGCGTGGACTCCAGCAGCCGGGGTGTGGTGGACTCAGGCGGGCGCCGCGTGGACTCCAGCAGCCGGGGTGTGGTGGACTCAGGCGGGCGCCGCGTGGACTCCAGCAGCCGGGGTGTGGTGGACTCAGGCGGGCGCCGCGTGGACTCCAGCAGCCGGGGTGTGGTGGACTCAGGCGGGCGCCGCGTGGACTCCAGCAGCCGGGGTGTGGTGGACTCAGGCGGGCGCCGCGTGGACTCCAGCAGCCGGGGTGTGGTGGACTCAGGCGGGCGCCGCGTGGACTCCAGCAGCCGGGGTGTGGTGGACTCAGGCGGGCGCCGCGTGGACTCCAGCAGCCGGGGTGTGGTGGACTCAGGCGGGCGCCGCGTGGACTCCAGCAGCCGGGGTGTGGTGGACTCAGGCGGGCGCCGCGTGGACTCCAGCAGCCGGGGTGTGGTGGACTCAGGCGGGCGCCGCGTGGACTCCAGCAGCCGGGGTGTGGTGGACTCAGGCGGGCGCCGCGTGGACTCCAGCAGCCGGGGTGTGGTGGACTCAGGCGGGCGCCGCGTGGACTCCAGCAGCCGGGGTGTGGTGGACTCAGGCGGGCGCCGCGTGGACTCCAGCAGCCGGGGTGTGGTGGACTACTCTGGATGCTGCTGGAGATGTGGACCCTGGCCATGTGGGCTGGGGCAAGCCCCGGATTGACTCCAGCCACAGGGCCCTGCCATCCAGGGACAGAGAGTGACCCAGACACTGGCGTGGAGGGCACCCATAGGCCCCGCATCAGTGGCGAAGGATGGTGTGAATTAGTGCAGGGGCTGATAATGTGATGCAGATTAATTGGTTTGCTGGGAGGAGCTGGGGGAAAGCCAACCTCCCGTCACCCCGGGTACCCCCTCTGGGCCACAGGGTAGGGGGCTGGGTTAGTGAAGAGGGGGAGAAAATCCCCTGGTTTCTGAATCATGGGGGCTACCCAGAATCCTTTGCTGCTTGGACCAGGTTTTATGGGGGCAGATTACCCAGAATTCCTTATACCAGCTAGGTAAGCAGCTCCCTACCACCCCACTTCTGTGACCCCCAAACGGGCGCAGTGATCCAGACTAGTCCTGGGGGGCGGGGGCTACCCCCTACACACACGCACTGGGGACCAAAGGGGCATGGGGTGGGGGCTAATCAAGGCACTGCTCCTGGGCAGTTCCTCACCAGGTGTTGGCAGGGACTGAGGGTGATTCTGGGGTGAGGGGCTTTGGTAACAGAGGGAACCTGGCCATAGGGGGACTGTTGGCTCCATTAGCACGAATTGCTGGGTGTAGGGGGCAGGGAGGTGACTCAGGAGCAACCCTGGTGTGGGGATGTCCCGAAGGACGGTCGGTCCGGGCGACGGGGAGGGCCCTGTGGGGGCAGTCACCCCTGGCTATGTTGGGGGCAGGGCTTACAGGGGATCTATTTTTGTATGTGATTTGGTTTTGTAAGGGGGGGGCCCATGTGTGGTTAATCAACCAATTAAACCAGTGAGCCCAGAGTGTGGGGTGGCAGCAGGGGCCTGCTGGGGAGGGGACCCAGGCGGATCCTGCCCCCTGCCCGCACCCTGGAATGGACTTGGCCGGATCCTGTCCCCTGCCCGCACCCTGGAATGGACCTGGCCGGATCCTGCCCCCTTCCTCTCCCCCCTGGAATGGACCTGGCCGGATCCTGCCCCCTTCCTCTCCCCCCTGGAATGGAC